GGATATAAGACGACCCCATTTTTTCAGATGTATTTCCAAGAAAGAAACATTGTCTTAAATTGGGAACAATACGGTAATACCAGCCAGAGCAACCCAGTTTGTCTGACCTGTAAGGCTCGGACTCTGCCAAAAACTTTCGCTGTTCCAGAGGACTAGCACTGACCCTCAGCTCCTTCACCACAGCCTGATAGGAGCTGCAGTCACACAGCACCTCAGCCAGTATTACCTAACAGAGACAGAACAAACAGTTACAACAACAACAAAACTATTTGCTTCAACAAACATGTACATTACTATCAAATGAAAGAGACGAAAATAAGTGAAAGAAACACTAAAAAAAAGCCAACGTTCTTATGTAAATATGTCTGCAGTGAGGATTTACAGACCAGGACGACCTTAACGTCAAACAGACTACAAATTCAGGTCAGTGTAATTATAGATGGTTGTCAAGTAAGAGAGCAGTGGAAAATAAGACCATGGCCTGAAATGTCATATTTTAAGTATTTAAGAGCAAAGATATAATAATTGCTTGTGTAGACTGATCAATTTCATATATTTGGAATATTACACATTGATTCAGAAGCCTCAAGATTAATTTAAGTGCATTTCCATACTTGAATTAATAAAAAAACACAATAATTACTTTCTTCCAGTTTTTTTGTTTACCTGAAAGGGCTACGCAAAACAAATCATAATAATTTGCTTTTCAGTTTTCTTAGATATGTTAAACATCCCCCATGGGTTTCCCATTATAGTTAGGTACATTTCAAGCTGTTCCTGACACTTATCATTTTAACATGTCTACCTTTCCGAACCAGCCATTTCCAATCTCCTGCAGGTAGTTGAGAGTGTGCCTTCGGAAACATTGAGAGCTGTCTGTGGGATACAAAAGGAGTGTGTTCAGAAGAGTTCATAACCTTTTCATTTAGGAACAGGTTATGGAGCAAGATGTTCATGCTTGTAATTAGTTGGGTTACCTGTGCCATTCAGTAAGATGGTGCAATTCTTATCCCGCAGTGGGAGAGTGTAGACGTCCGGTAGTGATGGACAGGAGGACAAACTGTCCTCAGGAACAGGACTGGATGCCCCAGAGCATTCTTCCCCTTCGGCATTATCAAACTCCTGAAAGAGAAAAGTGGAGGTGGTAATATATATATATATATATATATATATATATATAAGAGAAGAAAAAAGAAATGCAACCAACATCAAAAGAACAAGTAAATGTATGTTTCATGCTGATTCATATCAGTAACACCCACATTATGCAAAATTCACGTGTATAAACCCCACACTAAAGAGACTTACATTAAATCCCACGCTTCCTCTTTTGCAGCAAAGGCAGGTGAGAAGCAACAGAACAAAAGAGACCAGCCCAGAGCAGGAGATGAGAATAATCACATAAGGGGGTGGAGAGAGAAAGTCATCCCGGGACACAGAGACTGGGGGAAAAAAATGGGGTAGAGATTTAATATCCATCCTGACAAATACTAAGAGACTGATAGACTGATAGATAGACTGATAGATAGATAGATAGATAGATAGATAGATAGATAGATAGATAGATAGATAGATAGATAGATAGATAGATAGATAGATAGATAGATAGATAGATAGATAGATAGATAGATAGATAGATAGATAGATAGATAGATAGATAGATAGATAAAGAGAACTTGTATTTTCCTAATAGGGTAAAATTGAAAGGGCAGCGTTACATTCAGAACATAGCACAGGAATCCAATGAAGAGTTTTCATTGCACAAAGGGTGAAAGTACAGAGAAAAGCAGAGGAACTCAGAATAGATCACCTTCATATTGGGTTTAGGGAGGGGTTTGAGAGCTAAGGTTTAAAGGAAGCAAAGGAGAGAAACCAGAGAGTCATCATACAAGACATTCCTTGTACTCGTCACTATTGAAGAAGAAGGGAAGGTATTTGGAGTTTTGTTTGGGGTGAAGGGCCTTTTTTTAGGGAAGGGACTGGATCATTGAAAAAGATTCTTGTATCTGGAGGGTTGCTGGGTCAGAAGGAAAGGTGCCATACTTGTTTTTGTACCTCAATTTGGCCGTTTGTTTTAGGAGAGCCATCTGTGGAGAAGAGAAGGTGGGGAGGAGGGCAAGGAGGTTAAATACCTTTGGTATTGTGATTAACCAGATGCTAAGAATGAATAGGCCTATCCACTAAACTAAAATAACTCGTATAATGTATTCAACTGACTTGAAACCTCATTATTTATTCATCAATGTTAGCACACATGCCATTGCTGGAGAATGTACTGTACATCTCCCTTTTACCTCATAATTAAGCAAATCACAAAATAAATAATGTTGTATAATAAAATATGTTTGAATTGAAAATATTTCTAAAATAGCAAGGATGATAATGCTCTCATTTCTTAATCATTCAAAAACATTAACGTAACTTTTAAAAGTGGTGGGCCATGGTTTTCCTAAAATAGCATTGGCACCACAAACACATGTGTGGGCACATCAGAACTGACACGGCAACTGAGGATGTTTAAAGACGTAAAAAAAAGAGTCTCTGAGTACTAAGCAGTCATTAGGGTCTGTTGTCTGAAAACTGCAGGTCATTTGAGGTCATGCTCATTTTAGACAATGCCTTTTTCCAGGAAAAGAAAAGAAACCTAAATGTCATTAAATCCTAGTTTTCATCATCTTTTCTCAATGATAAATTAGTATTATTATTGTGATAGTATATAATATTGTGATTATTATAATTATTATTATTCAAAAATAAACATGAATGTAGGCTATCAGTAAAACGTGATGTTACAGTATTCAACAAATTACTTAATAAAGGTAGATATGTTTTATGGAGCCAATTGTGCAGCTTTAAAATTTCTATCACATGATGTCAGAACCTTATGTGGTTAATAATTAAAATATAATGTTAAAAATAAATACCAACCATCGAACAAATGCATATTAGAAATACCACAAATGCCACGCTTGTAATTAACAATAGGCACACGTTCAGTATTCGAAAATCACCCCGCGGTGTTTGTCCACTTGAACTATGAAAATATAAAGGCTAATATGCAGGTAGGTGTATGAATACATGAAGGGTGTTATTATTCATCTGGTAACCTTTTATTGTTCGAAAAACAGAGGACAGACGCTGACAGACAGGGACCTGTGTGCAATTCCCTTCTTAGACCATATGGTTACACATACTGCATACGAGAGCACACAAACAAACACGCGGGCCTGTTGGCAAATGTGTGTTCATGGTAACGTTAGGCTTCTAAAATAATGCGCGTCATAAAACACTAACACCTAACAATTATGCAATTATGCGAACATTAGTTAAAACAGGGACAGATAATGATTCAGAATATCGCACAATGTAAAATATACCTCAGGCCCATATAAGAGCGGTTTTGCAGGCCCACAATGAAAAATCATACATGCGTAACGTTACCAGAATAGCAGACACCTTATTATCGCCAGTGCATGATGACTGGGCTCAGTAAATGGTGCCACTTTGTAACTTTCTAACATATGTCTCAGATATTGAGACAGATATGATTGAATAATGAAATAATATTTAATGAGCGTCACCTCTAACCAGAAATGTAAAATACTCCCCTTATTTCGCCTCCTCCCCCCTCGAGCGCATCAATAACATGCCATAAACGACACGGCACGCTCACCTTCATTCTGCGGGGCTCCCAGTGCCCTCTCCGGGTTGAAGTACGACATCAGCCCGACCAGAACAATCACCCAGCACTGTAGTGACATGGTCGCGCGGTCCACGGAACCACCATCCGAGCGATACTGTCAACGTTCCCCGCCGCGCGTCTGTATCCACGCTAATAAAGAAACGTCTCCTTGTTGTGCAAGGCTGATGCTTTCTTTTAATCCGCAATTAAACACAGCGTGAACGCTCTTTTGTGTAGCCTAATCCTGCGATCCGCATCCTCAGCAGCGCGCTGTTACTATTCCGTCCTCATCGCGTCCCAACGGTCGAAAACGGGCAGAAAATACCAGTGAAGTCATTCTATTGGTTCTATATCCTATACCGTGTGTCAGTATCATGTAAGTGGTCGAGCTATGTTTTCCTCCAAGAAGCCCCTCTACGTCAGACGTAACCGAGTTTGCGCTATTAAAATCTCTGTGGAGCTGCGCGCGCCTCGCGGCGATTTTCATAGGTAGCCTAGACGTTGCCTCGCAATAGAACGATTACGCGATGCCCTTCACTCAGATACCTGGCTGCTGCTGGCCAACAAAAGCGTTTGTTTATGAGACTGGAGAGAACGTCAACGCCCCCATGTCTTGGCCTTGGGTATCATTGCATCAAAATCCCCCTAAATCGGACCACCTCCACGGAGCGGTGACATGATCCGTTTGGGAGGACAGGTGCACAGAGCGAGCGAGCCATTGAAATTCTCTATAGCCTTCAAGTTAATAACATGCAAATCTCTGTCTGTGTCTGGAAATGGCCAAATATTTTCACCACAAAGATGCCTTTAAATACCAATGAATGCAAATGGAATTAATCTCATCCTCCTAGCATACTTTATTGCATTTATATCCTTTATGATTTGTGTCCCACAAAAATGATTTGCTCAGTGAAAACAGAGCATATAAATTAAAGTTCATGAATGGCAAAGGATAAAAAACTGAGACAAATTATTTAAGTATATCTTTTGGTATGTAATAGTGTCAGCTTCAGATGCCGTTCCCAAATTACGTGATTGACTGATGCATATTGCACAAAACTGTACTTTTCTTCTTAGGTATGTCTGTGAAATAATCCAGTTATTTTCCGTACATTTTCAACTATATTCATTACAATGTTATTATGGGGTATTATATTAATATTATATTATAATAATCTGTCACGTAAAAACGAAAAATCAATCGCTTTACATAAGGTCAAACAGCAAGAGGGAGGCAGGTGGCCAGAATAAGCAGAAATATGGACCAGACCTTTTGCTGTTTAGTCTTGCTATGCAATAATAGGATGTAATGAAGTATTTACATGACAGGAACAATATATTTTATTGACTCAAGTATCAGCAGTAAAGAGATGTTCTTAGTCTCACAATAATGGCTTGTCCATGTTTTAATGCTGATGTCTCATATTTGTACAGGAACTGATGCAGATCTTACAAATCAAAAGATGAAATTTTTACAACAGCTTATTTGCTTCATGTGCTGTCAGCACAAATACAGGCAAACAAGAGGTTTTCCTGTTCGCTCAAGTCACCTGATGCCAATAAAAGTGATGCAGAGGCCAGATCGATGGCTTTTAGGTAGCAATCAGTCATTTTAAATGGTCTTCACACTTTCCACCTGCTAATTTCTTGTCCGACCACAAAACGGTTCCGCATATTCTAGACTTAGTGAATTAATGCCTTTGTTAGCTAATAAAACCCAAACTGATCTCTGTCTCTCTTTTGCCTCTTCCGTGCCAATTCAGGAAAGTAGGCGTTGTTGTATGGTCTGTCTCTATCACCCATCTCTCGCTCGTGCTCTTTTTCTTTCCCGCCTCCACTCCTCTGTTCCAGTAAAGCCTTTGTCCTTTTCCTCTCCTCCGCTTCTCTCTGCAGTCGTTCAGCCCGTAACCTCTCAATTGAACTGTCATAAGCAAAATAGTGAAATAATGAGTAAAATAAATCATTTCAGGATAAAAAAAAAAACAAGATCTACTGAGTGTAACTAATGTAATACTTCCTCATTTATTTTTCTATATCCAGTAATTCTAAACTGACTGGAAAATGACATCAGGAAAATATTTAAAAGCAAATTATATATGCATATACACTAAGAGTAATACTTTTAGTCAGCATGGACATGTTGAGTAACAGGGAAAAATGTATAATGATACGAAAGATTTCTAAAATAAATGCTGTTCATTTGAGGCATTAATTAAAGGATTCAGCAAAATTATTAAGCAGCACAACTGTTTTCAACATTGATAATAATAAGAAATGTTACTTGAGCAGCAATACTGTAATATCAGCATTTTAGAATGATTTCTGAAGGATCACGTGACACTGAATATTGCATTATGGCTGCTAAGAATTCAGCTTTGCCATTAAATCAAATAATTACATTTTTAAATACATTATAAAGGTCTTTTATATTGTAATAATATTTAACAAAACAATTTTACTGTATTTTTGATCAAATAAATGCAACTATAATGAGCATAAAAGACTTGAATTAAATTCTTGCAGGTTGCAAATAACCATGGTCACATTTTCATTTTCAAGAAATGGCTCGGTAATCATTATGACTTGTGAAGTATGACTAAATTGTTGTGTAGTCAGGCAAGATGCTTTACTGGTGTTGACAGAAATAGAAAAATGATTTTGCACCTCTCTCCACTCCTCTTCTCTCCTCTGTCATTCTTCTCCTTCTTCTTATGCTTTTTCAGCTTTCTGTCTTTCACTGCCAGTGCCTTTTTCATTTCTTTAAGAGGATCCAAACTGTCTTTCAGCTTTCTGTCTTTCTTTTCTCTTTCCTCTTCAGTCATGCTTCTTTGGTTGCTTTTGCCTTTTTCTTTTTTGTCTCTCTCTTCCTCTTTGTCTTTTCCATCTTTCAGGTACCAGGGAGTGGCTTCTGTTCCAGGAGCAGGACCAAGAGACACTAAAATACCAATAGCACGTTCCTGCTTCTCCTAGAATAAAATAAATAAAATAAACAGCTTTAAAAATTACAATTTTAAGTAGACTGTGTCACAATGGCAGTATGGAAAGTATATAGCTAAATCTTAAAGTCAGCATGAAACGGATTGCTGTGATCTCAGTGACAGGGCATCCCGCCCTCGCAAGTTTTTTGATACAAGATTACAAGGGCATTTGAATTTTAAAAAATATGATATGCCCGGATAAATCATTTATAATAAATACAGAAATATCCTTAAAAAATTAAGAATTGTCAATAAAAAAACATTAAAAGTGCAGAAAGGATTTTTTTATCGCTTATACACACCTTCTCTTCCTTTTTCTCTTGGAGGTATTCTGCATTTCCTTTCTTTTCAGACGAGTCCTCTAGAGGAAAAAGATTAAGGTGTTCTATCTCTCTGGCTCCCCGGCTTGTCTCCGCCGCCTCTCCATCCTCTGTCCATTCCTCTGTCTGCTTCAGGCCTGCTTGAGATTTCTTTCTCAAATACTCGGTTCGGGCCTGAGGGATTATGGGACAGACATTCAGCTCAAAATGCAAGCCATAAAATATAGATAGCAACGTAGACTGAATACAAACTGCATTTTTTGACATGCATTATAATTATGATACATGCAAACCAACAAAGACTGACAAAATGCACGTTTTATTTTTAACATTTTTTTTTTATTTTTCATTAGGCGCTGCGAATGTAGTAAATTAACCTAGAAACAGTGGAAGGATGCTGGGTTGCTATGGTTACCTCTTGCTCTGCGCGTTCCACTCGCCTTTGAATCTCGCGTTCTTCCTCTGCTGCACGAGCCTCGTCGCGGCGCACGCGCGCAATGTTGTCCTTATTGCGCACATGCCAGCTCTTTTTAGGCAAAATGTTCATTGTGAAATACTTAGGAGAACAGTCAAACTGACAAATATAATTGCGGGTTCGTAGCGAGTGTGTCAGGCCACATACAAGATCCAAAGATCAAACAATTGCGGAAATAGCTCAGTTTATGGCTCGAAATAAACAGCCTCGTCGTCGACAAACGTTACGGAACGAAATTCAAACTCGTCAGGGTATCTGGTCGGTAAATGTCAGATTCGTTTATTTCATATTGCCTATTCACAACCAAACACATTTAAACATCTGTCGAAAAATACACCTACTGAAAGAGCTTTGTAAACACCGGAAGTTGTCGTAGTGTGACCTACCACGTCACACGTAAAATATTTGTGACGCAGTGTAGAACGTGTAGAGTACCACACGAGGGCGCACCTAAAAAAAAAAATCCTTTTGAGCCTAAACCTCAAAAAAGCCTTTTGTTTACCATGAAATACTTTCTCATGTGAGGAATATCTTTGTAGTCATCATAATGCTCAGCATTGTATTCTGATTGTGTATTTACAATTTTTGAAAATGTTTTCATTTTTTTAAAGAATGGTATACTCATCCAAATTAACAAAGACTTGAGTAAAAAAATAATTAGGATTTTATGCTTAAGGAGGTACAGCATAACAAAGCCCAGGACATCAGAGTATATTATCTATCACAAAAGTTTGATTGGCAAAAAACTTAAGGCATTTAACACAAAGTAAGAAATGTGTGCAATGACTCTTAAACATGCATATACATAAACATTTATACACTACTGTTCAAATGTATGGGTTGTTAATATTATAAAATGTTTGATTATAAAAAGTCTCTTAAGCTCACCAAGACTTTATAATTTGATCATAGTAAAACAGTAATAATTACTCATCAAAAAACACAATATTTATTTTACAGTTAAACTTAAAATATATCTCTGTTCTACTATATTTTAAAATGTAATTTATTCCTGTGATGACAAAATGTGATCATGTCACATTCAGTGTCACATGATTCTACAGAAATCATTCTAATGTGCTGATTTGGTGCTTAAGAAGCACCATTTCTTATTATTATTGAAAACAGTTGTGCTTCGTAATATTTTTTTAGAAACCATGAACTTTTTTTTATATTTTATTTGATTCTTTGATAAATAGAAAGTTGAAAAGAACAGCATTTATTTAGAACAGAAATATTTTGTAACATTATTAATGTCTGTCACTTTTATCCAATTTAATGCATCCTCTTGCTGAATAAAAGTATTAATTTATTTTCAAAATATATTACTAACCCCAAACATTTTAACGGTAGTAATAGTATCATTGGATGTGTAAAACAATGGAGTGCACAATTTTTTTTTTTTAGAATTCCAGCATAGACTGCACTTTATCAACAAAGTCTTAATATGGCCTTGGATCTTCATCGCGGTCAAATGCATAATTGTCATGTTGATTCCACCGTGTTGCTGTGTCAGTCTCTCTCTGGGGCTGATGTGGTTCACGCAATCTGGCATTCAGCTCTTCAATTTGTCGGACCAGGAATTGCTTGTCATGCTGTTCCTGTTACACCCAGATAAATACAGATTAAAAAAGGGATTAATAATGGTTCCAGTCAGAGGTTAAATTGGAAAGAAGAAAGTCTTAGTTTAGTGTCATCACTCCCCTTATTTTAAATGTTATGTTATTTTATCGTGGCTTTCAGTGTTATTTATATTCTATCCAGACCAGACCTCAAACACTTTTTTCTTAACGATATACCAATGGAATTTATTGTAAATAAATATTATTGTATAATACAATGACACAAAATTACACAATTTAAATACGCTTATTACATGGCTTGGTTGAATTCTAATGTGGAATGCGGTCTGTTATTTCTTTATAACAGATCGCTGCAAAGTATAACACACCGTTGCCATGAAAAACAGATTGTTGCCATGGATATGGACCAAATTATTGATTTATTTTGTAGGTAGCCATGTAATAAGCGGGTTAATGTAGAGCGGGGCGGTTGTTATAGCGAATACAACCCCTTCACGATAATCAGCATGTCAGGGTTGTATTCGCAATAACAACCACCTCGCTCTTGACCCTTACATAACCATTCAAGTCTGTGGATTTGGATTAATAACCAAGCACTTACCAGCTTACACTGAGATTTCAGGAGTGCTACACTTTTCCCATGGACAGATGTTAAAGCGCTTACGTAGCACAGGAGCACACTGTGTATTAAATGTCAAATACATGTTTTTATCACATTTTCATCAACAATTATATCATAATCAGTCCTATCTTTATTTATTTATCAATCTAAATCAATGATTTAGTAAACTGATAGAATGCATGTTGAGTAAAGTTTTACATTAAACCATACGAAATTGTGAATTGACCCTTGGCTGTTTATACTGACCAGGAGAAGATGAAGAGTGGGATAGAGAATTTCTGGGAGCCGATATAAAACAGGAATTCTGCACTGGTGCTGTTTAGCATTTCGGCAGCTCGTGGTACAACCTCCCACATTGTTGGGTAAAGGCGGAAAGGCCCACAGCCATAAGATGGATGGATCCTACCAACAACAACAAAAAATGCATGACATACATGATCATACCTGAATATACTCTTTATGGAGAGTGGCAGGTCTCACTCACTTAGTCACACTGTAAAGGAGAACCATGGTGGCCAACATCCATCCAAAGAGCAGAACCAAAAGGAAGAAGAAGTTGGAGGTGGTGGACCGGAAGTTTCTTGTTGCTGGTTGACAGTTCTGGAAGAGAGTTGTCTGATACAAGCAAACATGGACACAATTAGGAATTTCAATCCTAATTGCATGTACGTGTCTGTCTGAGAAGGTTGTCATGCCATGGTACCTTTTTGCAGTAATAAAAGAGGAGGAATTTGATGGTGTTGATGAATGGCAGCAATGGACAGAAAAGAGCTCCGGTCCAAACCACTGTTTGACTGTAAACTAGAGCAAGAACATTTGGGGCAACCAGAAACTCTTGCCGTCCCACCCACTGAGTTAGTTTGCATGAGCAATGATCCACCACAATCCTGAACATGGCAAAAATAAGTTAAAAGATATATTAAGATATATATATATATATATATATATATATATATATTTTTTTTTTTTTAATAGAAATATATGACCTAACACACACAAACAGACCTCCGTGGGAATTCTACCAGGATCAGTGTAGCAACGGTAATCAGGAAGTCAAAAAGAGTCAGTTTATACATTTCCTGTCCAACCCGTGTCTCCCAGCACTGTGGTTGTGAAAGAGGGATTTGAAGTAAAAAAAAAAAAAGAAAAGGACATTATATATTTGGGAATTAAACAGACATTGATTAGAACTTATACTATTCTGTTCAAAAGTTTGGTCTCAGTAAGATTTTGAAACAATTAATTGTATCAATTTAAGACTTACAAAATAGGCTATTTCAATTTCAAATAAATGCTGTTCTTTTAAAATTTCCATTAATTGAAAATCCTAAAGAAAGATACATCACAGTTTACACAAAAATATTAGGCAGCACAACTGTTTTTAACATTGATAATAATAATAATAATAAATGTTTCTTGAGCACAAAATTAGCAAATTAGCAAATGACACTGAAGGCTGATGCTGAAAATTCAGCTTCGTCATCACAGGAATAACAGCCCATTCTCATCCCAAGGCATCATCTAACTGACACCTTGGGAAGCATTTTGACCATGCTTCAATATCTGATGAATAAATTACATTACACTTTTTTATTTATTTTTTCAAAAACATTTAAAAATCTTACTGACCCCAAATTTTGGAACATTAGTGTATTTGACAAATTATGAATGAGTGCATGTTGTTTACCTTATATTCGTTGTAATAATAATGGCAGGTTATACAGTTGTCATTATCATTATCTCCCTTACAGGTAATCTCTTCCCACAGCGTGTGCAGCAAAACACCCAAACTCACCAAACGCAAGAAGACTGCCCTACAATGACAAATAGAGAGAATGAGTATAAGTGAGCAAGCAGAATGAGTTTCTAAAATAACAATGACAAAGATCACATCAAAGAGAGCAGTGGTTGAACAAACAATGTGAGTATTTAGCGAAAACGATGGTGCTTCCTTTCAAATGATTCATTTTGAAAGCTATTAAATGAACAAAAGAAACTGCAGGCTAACATCTCCCAATGAGGTTTTAACCAAGGCTAAACAAGGACATCTTGTTAATTTACATCTCTCTTCATTTTCCGCTCTTTGTTTGGTGTGGGTGCGAGAATTGATCTAACCGTAGCAAGGCCAGGATGACCGTGGTACTGGGAGAATACTTCTCCAGTAATGCAATCTTGTCACACAACAAAGGCACCACAAAATTGCTTGCTGTTATGACTATGGAGGGTAAGTATTGCAACAGCAGCCCCTTAAAGCCTGTTGTTTTCATACGCTGAAAGAGAAAGAGATTTAATCACTTCATTGTCAAAAAAAAGCCCATAAAGGTAATTAGAACCTCAGCCAAATAAATACAATGACACAATGACATTGATTTTTATAATCTTACTTGTAAATCATCTTAAAACATCCTCTAAGGAAAAAAAACAGACCTCCGCTGCGTCCGAAATCATATGCTGTATAGTAGGTGCTACACTTGGTTTGAAACTTATATGTGGCCATTAAAAAAGCACATTCTATAGTATTAATGTGTGAGGTATGAATGAAATTCCTATGGTGTTAGTTGCACCGCTTTTTAAAACTCCTCTCCTGTGGCCTCATGGGACAGTAAAGTGTCCACCGAACGCTCATTTCAGAACCTCTACGGAAATAGTAGGTCATCCATTCAAGTACTGTTTTTCGAATACTATTTATTCAGACATATATGTCTGTTGGCATACAGGTTTTCACATTCTACAGTAGGGAAGAATTTGATTTCATACACAGCACTAGACAAATTCCTTTCCACATGAGTTTTAATGTGACTGTTTAGGTTTAGTTACTGTTTTTGGTCTTTTTTAACTTCAGCTAACCTGGCTGAACTGTGTAGCCTCAGCAATGCCATAGAAAGTTGCACCGATGAGAATTAAGACAACTATGTTGAGGAAAACACGGAGCACGTAGAGAGAAACTGTTTGGCCCAAAGTCAGGGAGTCAGCCTTTTTTTTTAGTCTTTCCTCTTCTAGATCCACCTGAGGGAAAGAGACACAGTGAGAAAGATAAATATATACATATATATATATATATATATATATATATATATACAGTACATGTGTGTTGTCAAGATAATAATAAACATAATTATGTACTAGCAGTTTCCTTTTAATGATTCCATCTCCAAAAGGAACCAGCTCCTACACAATACCTGAAGGTATTTAATTTAAAACTTGTTTTCCAAACAGACCTGTAACCGGTAGCGAAAATTGCTCTGTTTAAGTTTTGTTGTACGGTCTCCTTGGAGACCGTGATCCCATCCTGTAAACACCAGCGTACTGTAACCCCCTGTTGCTCCTCCACCCGTCACAACGGCAACACGTGCCGTGCTGCCCATTCTATTGGTCAATCAAGGATGTCGACTTAATACTTGTTCTTTGAGCAATGTTCTTTTAATGTGCTGGTAGAAAATTCTGAAAAAGCTGACAAAACTCACCTAATAATCATACAAATGAAGCAGAAGAGGAAGTAGAACGCTGCCGTCAATAAATACGCAAGAGGGATGTTGTAAGAGAAGCCTTTACTCTCAACCATTGAATTGTTATAGTAGCCATAAAACAGGTGTGAATACTCCATAAATCCCTGAAGGAAGACAAGACAGTGATGAGTTAAGGTCATTTAGAACATATTCACAATAAAAATAAGATGTGACAGACTGATATTTAATACAAAATTTAAAATGTATTACAATAGAAAAAATATACTTTAGGGCCCGGTTTCACAGACAGGGTTTAGATCAATTAGGACAT